CGCTCTCCCCTCCAGCCCACACTGGAGCCAGACTCACTCCACTGCTGCCTGTATGAGCCAGAGCCACCATGTTCCAGCCCAGATGGGATGAAGAACACCTGAAACCCCCTTGCCTTCCTCCTGCTTGCTGCTTTCAGCATGACCTGGGCCAGAACTATGCACGGCTTAACACTGCTGCTGTACAGTGCCGCACTGGTCCTCCTTGCTGTGCTGCAGCCCCAGAGCTGCAGCCAGTGGCACAGGGCAGCATTGGTTTCCCAGCCACTGCATGTGCTTCTGCATGGGATGCAATACATTCACCTCATGCTGGAGGCCCTCCACACCATGTCCCTGCAGACCACCATCCTGTGAGTCTGCATGGGGCTTGGCAGGGTGGGGGGCAGCTGGGGACCCCCTGCTGACAGGGCTTTGTGCAGGGAAGGGGTAAGAGGCTGTGAGTTAGGAGTGAGGACCACGGGCAGGGCCAGGGGGTTTGGGTGTGGAGTGAGGGGCATTGGCTGGGCTGGGGAAGTTGTGGGTCGGGAGTGAGGGGCAATGGCATGGGCAGGAGTAGAGCATCAGCATATCAGGGCTGCTTAGTGGCGGGGACAGCCGCAGTTGGACCCACATCCTGGTTAGTGAAGTGGGCAGGGGGAGCTCTGATTTTCCATGATAAGAAAAAACAAAATCAAATGCCAAAGCATATAGTTATTTAGAGTGCATTTTATTATAATGATTGAGGCACTGGTAGGCTTCCTAATTGCTTTAAAATTGTAAATGTATCAAACATTTCAACTGAGAGAGAGATGATGCGAGAGAGAGAGAGAGTCATTTCATTTTAATCATATGAAAATGCATATTTTAGGGTTTTTTTAATCAGAGAATTTGGGTTTGTTTGTTTTTTTTAAATGAGAGAATTTGAGATTTTTTTTTAAACAGAAAACCAGGATCCCTGGTGATGAAACACTGCATTTTTCCAGTCTCAGTTTAGTACCAATAGATACTGATGGGTGCTGGAACTAGTAAGTTGAAACAAAAACGTCTAATATCTCTGCATGATAAAAAGTTTGATACCATGTGCCATAATCCACTTTGGTGATGGGAGAAGCAGAGAGAGAAGCTGCTTCCAGGTGCTGGTCCATGCAGCATGCTTAATGGTTCAAGCTGAACCAGGGAAAGGCTCCCAAGTTTTTGTTTTGTTTTTTCGTTTGTTGGTTTGTTTTTTGAAACGTCACAAACAGGTTTCTTCTTTGGCTGTACTAAGTGTTCGTTTCCCCAGAACTTCTGAATTGTCTCAACTTCCCAGATATTTCTAGGATGCAACAACAGTTGCCTTTTTTTTTAATTTCCCAAGGAATTTACTTTCAACAGCCATTCAGATGCTTGCTGGGTACTAGAGCACTTGTTTTTGTCTTCAGAGCAGCAATGCCTGCTTTCAGCAAAGTGATGAAAATGGGATGACATTGGGAGAAAGTATTTTGTGCCGAAGCAAAAGTTCAGGTTAAAAAGAAAATCTGGATACTTATTTAAGTTTCCAGTATTTATTAAATGTTGAGGGGTGACAAGTTAAAAATATACCTCTGGGTAAGATGAAAAGATGAATAGACTATATTTGTTAGGCATGTCACTTTTTTATATACTGAAAAGCATACAAATTCTACAGGGGTAAGCATATTAGACCTTGAATACAGTCTGCAGTCTGTATTGAAATAATTTTGCTTGAGCAGTAGTTTATTGCATTTAAAAATTTTGATGCTGTTTTCTATTGCATGTCCTAAAAGGTTAGCCAGAAGCAGTGTTTAGGAATAAACTGTAAAACTTACAGTTCTCTTTACTTAATACTTTTGTAGAGCTTTGAAGAGATGAGTGCTAATGCTGAAAAACTGCTATGGATTTTTCACCCTTTTTTTAATCCTCTCCCTCTCATAGTGAATTATGTATTTAAATTAGCCAATTTAATATCTCTCATGTTTTTACTCGTATTTTCTTTTCAGATCACCTGACAAAAAGACATGAGGTAAGACTTACCTTTTTTATTAAATAAATTAGCACAGGATTCTACAATACCCATCGAGAAGTTAAATAAAGATTTGACAAAGCAGGCTGTTGCTTATGAAAGTGTATGCGTTTCTGAATGGGTTTTTAAGGTGTCACCCTGCCCTACCTTCAGCAAGGTTAAAGAGATTTTTGTATGTAGAAAGAAGTTACTAAGTAAGTATTGGGATACGAATACTTAGTCACTTTCTGTAGTGATAATCAGAAATACATTTTCTAACCTGGTTGGCAGAATTATGCCTGTAAACCTTTGTGATGACATGCAGGTTCTTTAACAATATATCGATGGTTTTAATGTTGAGAAACTTGAGCATGCCCTTTTACCGTTTATGCTTTCACATATGAGCTTGCAAATTTTGTTTGTGCAACTTAGATTTGAAAGCATGTCACTGAAAGTTTTATAGATGTAATACAAGAAGTTTAAACAAACATACTAAGAAAATACAATTGCAAGTATGAAGAAAATATGATTACAGAGTGCATAGTCCCATTATTATGACCCTTTTAGAGGAATGAAAATGGATAATCCATATCAAAAAGAAGACTAGAAGTATCTAATTAGGACACTTCACAGAAGTATTAACTCCGTTGTTTTTTGTTTGTTTATTTGTTTGTTTTAACTATCAAACATCCATTTTCATTTCTCAGGTGTTTGTAGTTTCTAGCAAAATGTCCTCCAAGGTGAAAATTAGTTCTCAAATCTGTAGCGAAGGGAACCTGTTGACTAAAAGCAGAAAGTGACTCCTGGATTTTGTGCACTTCTGTAACTTCAAGATGTCATTGTTTAGCTGAATATTGACTTGTATTTGAACAGAGAAAAATCATGAAGTCAATTCTTGACAGGAACTGAGCTCTTCCCATACTTTATTGCATGATGGAGGATTCTTCAATAGATTGGAGGATGACGTTCACAAAATACTTATTAGAGAGAAAAGGAGAGACCAGCTCACCGATTACAATGGAATGGATAACTGTGCATCTCATGAACATAGTCAGGCATGTACAATTGCAGAATGAATGTTTGCTTGGTGGATAACTGAAACAAAATGCAGCGTTTGAGTAACTTTGTCTTTTAACTTGAGACATCTAGCTCTTACAATTCCAGTTATATTCAGCGAACACAATTTATAGATGCATCTTCTGAATTCTTCATTTAAAAATTGTTTATTGGTCAGAGAAGTGGGGGTGGGGATACAAAATATCATAACCAAAATGAGGCTGCCAAGTCTAATGCTGTAATAAGTAAGGAGCCAGGAAGAATAAATGACAAAGACCTGAAGGGAAGGGAAGTTCATAAGTAGACTGCTCATTCAAGTTCTTAAAATACCCTGCTTTTTGCAGGCTGGCTCTAGCTCTCACAAGTAGTTTTTCTTTTTCCTACAGTGAGGAAGCTCAAAGTAGAACAAGATACCACATTTTAACATTAATTCAATGTTAGCAAAGGGATTTTGTCATGATTTGACTCTTTTTTAAAAAAAAACTTTTAAGCAGTGCTGTTGAGTTATCTACACATTAGAACACAAATATTTATTTTTGTTTTATTCTAGATCTTTATTCTTCCTCGCACCCCAGTGAGAGAACTGAAGCTCAGGTTACAATATTGTCACTTCACTATTCACATCTTCCAAAAATTTCTCTTCAGAAAAAAGATTGTTGGATCTCCTGATTTATATCTAATCTTTTTAAGAAAACAAAAATGTGGAGAAAGGACAACTTAATATTGTTTATAGTCCACCTTAACATCCTGTGTAGAAGCCAGTCATTTTTTAATGTTAAATTGAAATGCCTTGCTTCTGATGTCTAAAAAAAATCAAAACAAAAAATTGTTTTCCAAACCTACTTCCATTCTGCCTGTCTTTTATTTAAAACATCAAAAAGCTAGTTGATTCTTAAAACGACGTAGTGTGATTTAACTCAGAGGTGGGCAAAGTCTGGCCCGTGGGCTGGATTGGGCCCACAGTGGATTCCACTTCCCAGCAGCCCCTGCCCACCAGTTTCCATGGACATCCCAGCAGTGTCAGGGCCATGACAGCATGAGACCAGGGTTTCCATGGAGACTGACCTCAGCAGCACTGGCAGGGCACACAGCCAGGTTGGGAGCTGCTCTGGGACCAAGGCCAGGATCTTGCAGTGGTGATGGTATGGTCCAGAGCTGGGGCAGAACTGGGGCATGCAGGCAGCAGGTCACAGCTGTGCCCTGACTCCAGACCACACTGTCACTGCTGCAAGATCCTAGGTCCTGCCCCAGAGCAGCTCCCTGCCCAGCCGCATGCCCTGCCAGCACTGCTGGAGCCAGTCTTCATGGAAACCCTGGCCCTGTGCTGTCATGGCCCCATTGCTGCTGGGGTCTTCATGGAAACCAGCCGCAACAACGTGGGCAGGGGCTGCTGGGAAATGAAGTAGAGCCACCGGCCAGATCTGCCATTTTGCCCACCCTTGGTTTAACACATTATAAACAACAAGGAACAGTGTGCTGGGTAAGAGTAGCTTTTTCTAACAGCTTCTATAAAAACGGAGTTCTTATCTGGATGACACTCAAGTGTGTAAACAAGTTAATACTTCTATGGTTTGTCTTTCATTTCTGCAGTGACCCTAAGTCTGCTGATAGAAAAACAACTTGCTTCTACTCCGTATGCACTGCATGCTGAACAAAAGTGTGGTCACCTCCAGAGTGGGAATGGGTATGCCCAGGGTAGCTATCAGAAGTACACCTGAAAAAGATCTTGAAAATGTTCCAGAAAGTGGCCATACAATGCATGTGGAGCAAGAGTGATGAGTGGGCATAGTTTTTTTTTCAGTAGTGGACTTGGGTTTGCCATAGAGATTTTAGACATTTAATATATCCTAAAAGTCTTAGATTATTTATCAGATTCTCTGTTTGGTTTTCCAACGGAAGGAACAGAAAGTAAAGCTTAGAGCACTCTTTC